GTTGTCTACCCAATGTTTCCTCTTAGATCTCTGATTTGAAACTTTTTCCTCCCAAAATTTATAACTCTGCAAAAATGTGCCCTCCCTCCTCTTCAAAAATTCAAAATGAAACTTCCTTCTAGACACCTCTGCCTAAATTTAATAAAAAATTACACGAAAAATATTGGCTAACATCTCGCAGGTATCGCTACAGGAAATCGTTGATCAACAGGAAATAAATATTCTCCGAACTCCTCATGGTCAGTATTCACATCACGACTTCAATATATTTCACCATCCTGACTAAAATCAAGAAAGCAATGGCCAATAATAAGTATGTTTAGTATTTCAGAGCTATCGTTCAGTTGGTAATTGCGAGACGATTGGTAATTGTGGTTTAGTATTGCTTCGGAGAGGAGGAAGAAGGCTTCTTTAAAATTCTTCTGCCAAGAAAATAATATACCGTATAGCCTAAAGGGCGAAGAACAAATAAACAAATCTAGTGCGGCCAACACCCAACTTTCACTTACCGCTCTACTTGGAATAGAAATTATTTTCTGGCAAAGTTGGCCTATCATAAAATCTTTGAAGTGCGTTTTTAACGAAGCTTAAAGCTTACAGCTAACAAATCATTAAGACCATTATCATAACAAAAACCCTATTAATTACATTAACGGTACACAATGAAAACCTCGGAACTCCATCAGTTTATGTACACCACATTACTCCAGCATATATCTAATGCCCACAGGCGGATCTACGGAGGGGGAGCTTTCGGGCTGAAGGCCCCCCAAAATGGAAAAATGTAACCATGTTTTACAGAAAAAAATATTAAAAACTATCTCTTAAAGTATTCTTGATCGTGTAATTATATTTAATAGGACTTCAAGAACCACTTAAACATTATTTGATATAGATAATTAATTTATTTATTTTTTTCAAATTAATTATCGTTATATGTATATGAAAAAAAAATCATTCGGGCTGTAGCCCTCCCCCCTAAAATTAAATCCTGGATCCGCTAGTGCATATGCCTAGACAGATTTGAAAGTGTATCTGTATATTCAGCCTATAAATGATTATGGATTGTACGCTTATTAGTTATTTTCCACTTACCAAAATGAAATTACGAGATTTTTATGGCCTACCATATATAGGTCAAAAGTTGTCACTAAATTTAAGTGGATAATGTTGAGATTTCACAAAGACAAAATTCATCAAATTATTCACAAATTTAATTTTCTAAAAAATTACATGACGATTTTTCCGAATAAACGGACATTTATAACTAATTATTTAAGTATAATATCAAATCTAGAATTATTGAACTATAGTAAATGTATTTAAGGTTATAAAAATATGCTATATACATCCATAAAATATTTTTATATGTCACTTCTTCTTCACATCAGTACGATGAAATAGTTTTTTAAACAATGCCATAGCCTTGAGTAAGTGGATTTTAAATACTTTTTTAAACTTTTAAAAGTTAACATTTAGTTAGTAAATTATATTTAATTTCCTTGAAAACGTATGTTCCGTTAAATAATAATAATCTTCAGAAACTCTCCATTAATTTCTACGACTTTATATATTGTTTTGTATTCTCAAATTCTCCGCTTTCCAACGATATATTATTTGTATACCTTGACTGTTATTTCCGAAGATTCATTTACGAGCTGAATAAGTATTTTCCTGTTTTCTCCTTTATTAAATTATCAAAACTTATATTTAGCCTTTTTTCATTATTTATATAGGAATAGTTAATTATTTACAATAAACCAAATTAAAGGTACTTTAGAGACAGACATGTTGAACATTGGGCATTTAAGCTCTATAAAATGATATTAATGGGGACACGATCTAAATGATATTAAGGAACACTTAATTATAAAATGATACACCCCGTTTAATCAAAATCGTTAGAGCCGTTTTTTTTTTAAATCTTAAAAGTGTTTAATCGATTCTATAAAGTGCCACTTCCGATCCCGGGCGGATTTACGGGGGGTAGGGGGCTTTCGGGCTGAAGCCCCCTCCCCAAAATGGTAAAATATAACCATATTTTACACAAAAAAATATTAAAAACTATCTCTTAAAGTATTCTTGTTCGTTTAATTACATTTAATAGGGCTTCAGGAACCACTTAAACACCATTTCATATAGGCAGTTAATTTCTTTCTTTTTTCTCTTAAAAAAACTCTTTCGGGCTGAAGCCCTCTCCAAAATTAAATTGTTTTTATATACATTTAATTACCTTCCGGTCTTTCGTTTCGGAAAGGCGGTCCAAAAACCTGTGTCGCTTTCGACTGTAGCGCCTAAACGGCTATAACGATTTTAATTAAACTTCGCTAAAGTCTTCTCCTTGAAGCCCTTTTAATTTAAATATAACATCCTTCCCCGAAAAGAATATGAAAAAAAGTGACGAAGGGTTCAAAACTATATTTGCGAATAAGTCAAAAAGTACACAATTTCTGTTTGATTATACCTATCATTATTTGAAAACTTCCTCGATTGTCTGCAAATGAAAAAAAATCACTAAAATCGGACGATTTGGTTCTGAGTTATAATGCTTTGAACATTTAGTAATTTTTCGTGGGAGATTTAGAGACCGATTGCGTCTTATATAGTCAATTGTATGTTACAAATTCTAGAGTTGGAAAACCAGACAATCTCTATATCTATACAAAGAATAGAACAACAAACAATATCGCATATTCACAAGTGTTATTACATAAAATATATTAGAAAAAAATAATTTCTTTTCTACTTCTTTTTTTATTAAACCCACAGCAACGCGTGGCCGGGTCAGCTAGTTTATATTTAAAAATTGAAACACGCTGATAACTTGTTACAAACTGGGATTCATTAAATTTTGTTAATAATGAAGTTTACTAAACCTTGTAAACATACACGTAAAAATTGTTATGAAATCGACTGAACAAATAATGATGTTTGTTAACCTCGACTAATTTAAGGAAAAAGATAACATATTGTTGGATTTTCCTGTTAGTCATGATTCTAAGTATCTCTCACAATTCCTGCGTGACCATTTATATTATTGTTTCCTGGATCGGAGGGATAAGTAGCTGAGAACACGTCTTTTATTATTATTAAAAAATCTGATGAGCCCATCACACAACTTTCACTTACCACTTTACTCAGGGATTGCCATCTCTCCAAAGGTCGATGAAGCATGAATTTACCCTTCCCTCTCTCCCAATCCCAAGATATTTTATTGCTCTTCTCTTCTTGAAAATAGTCCAAGCGAATATAGAATTTGAAAAAATTGTAGATCATATACAATTACATTTATGTCTGTTCCATATTTTTCCATTGTTTCCTGGATTAAAATATTCTCCAAATTAAAGCCCACTAAAATATGGTTCCTTATAAATATTAATAACTCCATTGAAACGTGCTCTACTCAAAAATTCAAAACGCCATAAAAATGTCCCCTTTCCCTCCCTCCCAAAAAAAAAATTCATAACACCATAAAAATATTAAAACTTTTTAGCAACAAAATTTGATTAATTTCATAAATGTTTTAAAATTCGTATTGTTTTCTCCTGTAAAATTTACCCCGTAACAAAATGGAGTTACGAGGTTTTCATAGCCTAGATCAAATGTAATTACACTGACATAGTGAATAATGTGATTTCACAGAGGGGAAACTCATCAAATTATTCACTTTCTCAATTTAAATGATTTTTCGAAAACCAATGATCTCTCTAAAAACCTCGAACCTCCATTTCGTAGAATTTACAAGCGAACAAATAGGAATTTAAATACAAGTATAAAGTTATTTAGATTTAGTTCCTATAAGTTCTGTAAGTATTACGATCCTTACTCATTTATAAATTAAATATATAAGTGTACTTTCAAATCCCATTTTACATAAAGAGCTCGGGGAGACTGCACGTAAGTGGTTCAAATAGACTAAGTTACGAGGTTTTCATTTCTTACCGTCGACATAATAAATAAATATGTTTTACTCATCCTAAACACCGCATGAAATATTTTTGGATTCCATATCTTTTGTCACTTAAGAATAATAAAATAGTTTTACAACAAATTCATTGTCTTGATTCGGTGGATTTTATATACTTTTTCTGTCAAGCTTGAATTAAATTTTAAAAGTCTTTATTTAGTTTCTATGGAAATTCTATTCAGCTTCTATGGAAATGTTTATTTTAGAGTCAATAACATAAAATTAAATACAATGAAATAAATGATAATTGTTTTAGTTACATGCGTGCATTTCCGTTGAGAATTTAGATTCAATTTTTTTTTTTTTTTTCAAGACCGCAATACTTTTCCTCAATAAATAGGTAAGCCACAGGCGGATCTACGTGGGGGAGGAGGGATGCTTTCGGACTGAAGCCTCAATCCCCCTCCCCAAAAATGGTAAAATATAACCATGTTTTATAGAAAAAAATATTAAAAACTATCTCTTAAACTATTATTGTTCGTGTAATTACATTTAATAGGATTTCAAGAATCACTTAAACACCATGTCATATAGGTAGTTAGTTTCTTTCTTCTTTTTTTTTTTCAAATTAGTTATCGTTAGTTTTCGTCAAATTAGTTATATGAAAAAAAAATCTTTCAGGCTGAAGCCCCCCCCAAAATTAAATCCTGGATCCGCTAGTAAGGTAAGTTATAGTAGATGTAAACAATATCTGTACGTTTTTCCTTCCAGCTTGTTCACTGTGAATAGATTCGAATGGCACTTGTCTGATAGCCAAGACATATTAAAAAAAAAAACGAATAATGAAGCAAGTTTTTCTGATCTCAGATATCTGTAGTTAAAATATTTTATCAAAATAAACAAAAAACTTACCAAACTAAACAACTGAGACTTAAGAAAATTTCCATTCTCTTTTCTCCGAAAAAATATTGCAGCGACATTCCTGTGGATCGTAATAAATCTTAAAGGATCATTGATCCATGGGTCACTTCAAAATTAAAGTTTGATTCAAACTCATTAATGAATGAATTAAGATTAATTCAAATATTTACAGAAACACCGTTTGGAAAACTACCAGTATTGGAGATCGATGGGAAAGCTCTCCATCAATCCACTTCTATCGCACGATATTTGGGAAAAGAAGCTGATCTAGCGGGCAGCGACAATTGGGAGGCACTGCAGATCGACATGGCAGTGGACTCGCTCCACGATTTTCGTTTAGGTAACAATTATTCGAAAAATCTTTATTTAATTGTAAACAAATTCGAAAATGTTTTTCAACTTATTTAAATTTATTTCCAGCTCTTGTTGGTTACTTCTTCGAACAAGACAAGGCTGTTAAAGAAAAGAAACGTGGGCCACTTCTGAAAGACACCGTTCCTTTCTACTTGACCAAATTCGATGAACTTGTCAAGGATAACGATGGCTATCTTGCTAATGGAAAGGTATTCTTCAAAATTTTTGTATCCGAAATAGTTTTAATTTTTTTAGATTTATTGCAATATTATTCTTTTTTTTTTTTGTTACAGCTGTCATGGGGAGACCTCTATTTCGTCGCCTGTTCCTCTCTTATCAACCATATTATCGAATTCGACATGTTTGATAAATATGAAAACCTACGCACCCTGCGTGATAATGTACATTCCATACCCCAAATCAAGGCATGGGTAGAAACCAGACCCAAAACACCATTTTAAATGAAATTAGATAATAATTTTCTAATCTTTAAGAGGTTGAATTTATGCAGAAATTGTCATTTAATTAATAAATTGATTAGGATTAGAAAAACTAGCAATTTTTAAAACTTATTAGAAATGTAATATACCAAATATAATTGATTTTTGATCAGACTAGTTTGATTCTTTTTCAACTTTATTTTGGAATTTTTATAATAACTCCTAACTTTTTGAAGGAATCCATGGATCAATGCTGCTGTAAGATTTACTACGATCCACAGGTTTCTTAAGTTTCAGTTGTTTAGTTTGGTAAGTTTTTTGTTTAGTTTGATAAAATATTTTGAATACAGATTCCTGAGACCAGAAAAAAATTCATTATTCATTTTTTTTTTTAAAGACATTTTGGATGTCAAGCAATTGTCATTCGAATCTATAATCAATTCAATAAAGTAAATAGTAAGGTAAATTTCTTATAATAAAGGAAATTTCTTTGAAGTTTTGCGTTAAAAAACTTAAATATTTGTATAATTGTATTTTTTATTGTTACTTATTTTTGAAGAAAAGTTGGTTGGGGAGTTCAGTATAAAAATAAATTAAAAATAAATAAATGATATTTATTTTTATATTTTCTAACGTTTCAACACAAAGTTCAGGCCTTCATCATGGCTAAAAAACGACCAGATAAAAATATGAGAAACTATTAACTTATGAGATAGAAAAGTAATATTAATAATGACAATGTAAGGAACATATGACCAAAATTAATAACAGTAACAGAGAGGAACTTATGAAATAAATAATAATGGCAACAAAGTTGGCGATTAATAAAATAAACTTGTTTAGTTGTTTAAATGAGCTAAGATGGGGGCTAATAAAATTAACAAAATGTTATTCATTTTTATTGGATATGTCTTAAAGCATATTTCTCACTTTACCAAGACACATTTGAAATCTATGAAACATCCACCTAAATTTAAGAAAATTATATATTTATTGGATAGTTTTGTTGGACCTATAGCTGACAGGGATGAGAACAAGGATGTAATTATGCTAAATAAAGTTTTGATATTTTATATTCTTAATTTTAAAATATATATTCACAAAAACTATCTTTAACTAATTATAAAACTAATTTCAGTTCGTTTCCTGACTTAAATTCTTCAATAAATGCTGGCCACTGTCACAAACCTGTTTTTGACAATAGGAAAAGCTATTTTTACTTAATATTTTATCCAAAAACATTTTTTCTTTTTCGAGAGAATAATGAATGGTTTCATGTTTTAGACACGTTATATCAATTATATCACTTTAAATTTATGAGAATGCCGACCTGTCAGCTCCCGGCAAAAGGTCCCATTAAAAGACTCCAATAGGTGGCAACCATAATATTCCCAATTTCTTCATCAAGATAAGTCAAAAACATATAAAAGATAATCTAAAAACATTCCAAGAAACAGGGATACCCATCCTCCCCAAGAATCTATCCCCCTTCCTCCTAAAGGATATTTTATTGCTCATCGTTTCTTAAAAACAGAGCAAATTTAAAAAATGTAGATCATAAACAATTACACTTGCTGCAGTGTGTTCCATGTTTCCTCTTGTTGTTCCTTAGTCCGAAAATTCATAACTCCATCGAAATTTGCCCCCCTCAAAAATTGAAAAACTCATCAAAATATGCCCTCTCAAAAATTTTGATAGCGCAACTTGCCCCATGAAACCCCTTTCTGGGAACCCTTGCTTAGAAAAACAAAATATGCATCTTGGAATAAATCGAAATAGCTTAAGAGAAAAAGACAGATCTAAGGTATGGTGTCCTTACTAATAAATGGTTGTTCTTCGGACACTAAGTGGATCGTGGGGAATCTTCCTGATTCGCCACACATTATTTTAGTTATGGTTTCCAGCAAGACTAAATCAAAGAAGACAAATATACTAGGAGAAAATATAGAAACTAAAAATTTATGAAATAGAGGTTTAAAAGCTCCTGAAATCTTATTATTTTCGTTTATTGAGTAAATGTACCCCCAAGTTTTTAAAAACATTTGAAAAAAAGATCATCATGATGATTTTTAGCTCTGTTTATGTAAATGGTAATGGAGAGAAAGAGAAGTGAGGTACAGAGCTGATGAGTTTTTTTTAGTGATTAAATAAAAAATCATAATAATTAAAAAAGGCAGAGTTAGATGGTTAGGCCATGTAGAATCCTATCATGGAATAGGATAGAATTCTGAAGCTGATCCTGACGGAAACAGAGTGGTTGTCAACGTCATTTTGTCAAGTTGTCAAGGTCATTTTGTAATAATACATGTTAACACTCACAATGTTAATTTCTTTAATTTATTGTTTTATGAAAAATTGTAAATTTTAATGATAAATCCGGCGGTATTCTAAATGTGTGTTTAGACATTTCACAAACTATGGGAAAAACAAATATTTAAATGGTTCTTTCCCTTGGCTAGTGTTTTTGTTTCTTCTTTCTGATGTTTTCCATCTGTTATCGATAACCAGACAAGTAAAAAAAAGTTTTGCTCAGCGCTAATGTTGCTATTAGTTAAGTTAGATAATTTCGTTTCCTAGAGTTTTTGAAATGTCTAAACACATCTTAACAACAAAAAAACTAAACTTCATAATAGAAATTCTACAATGCACAAAATCATTTGTCTATCACAACTATCCATTAATGAAAGCTATTTTCTGCTTAATAACTCAGTAATCACTTGTAAAAGATATTGAAACTGTTTCTTCTTTCTTTTTGTTATTTATTAAAATTAATTATTATCTACATTAAAATTTGTTCAGGCAAACTAAAAACTTTTTGTTTAAACAAAAATATTTCGTACAAAAATAGATATAATTAATTTTAACAGAAAAAAATTGGTGATAATTAAACTCAAATTATATGTAAATTTCATTATTCAAAGGATGTAGAATAGTACATGTAGAAAATTCAGGAGATGTCTGAATATTAATCATAAGCTCGTTTGCTCCTTACCTTTAACATGGAGGTTGCTTCAAACAAATTTAAAAACTCAAACCTCAACAACAGCTTTGCCAAAATTATCTCCTTTAAAGAGGCCAATAAATGTTTCATCCATTTTATCGAAACCTTTGAAAACTGCTTCTTTATATACAATTTTCCCCTAAAATTGGTGTACCAAATATTTTGATTATTTGTGAATATATTGAAAAAAAAGTTTCAGATTGACTTTATTAAATTGTAAATATAAATACAAACAGACCTCCTTGATGAGTTCCAAATTCCTTTGAATACCTTGAAACCAACGGTCTAACCATCTGAGGACAATGAACCCTTCAAGCTTCAATTCTTTTACAAGTATTGTCTCTTGGACAGCTGGAGCTAAAACCAAGAAACAGCTTGAAGTGAACACTATTGACAAGGAAATTATACTTTCAATTTTTAAATATTTTCTCCTAATAGTCAACTTCTTGAAATATAAATCAGCATGTGATAAGTGCTAAATCAGCCATAGAAAATCTCAAGCTTCATAATCTTACTTGATGTAACTCTCATTGCACGGTAACAAGGCTTGGTCTAAGATGCAAGCACATAAATGATTATTATCATTAATTTAAAAAAATTTTTTGGATGATGTAGGATCAATTAACTGTTCAATATTTGAAATTACTAAGGTGTAAACTAATTGAGTGGTTTAACCTCCAAAATAATTTTTTAAACAAAAAAAGATGTTTATTGAAGTTTTCATATTCCCTTTGAATAATGTATCCATTTTAAGTTCTGTTCCAGAGTAATAATAGATGTTAGTGATATGGAAGTATTATATAATCTATCTTTTTGGATATTTTCATGGAAAACATTTCATCCAATTTTCTTTTACCTATCGTAAAATAAATTATTTTTGGGTCATTCGTTCTTTTAACCCATCTTCAGTATAGATCCTGTATTTTGGAAAACAAAAGTAACAATTTACACTAATCAAAAAAAAAAAAAAAAATTGTACACATGCTTAAAATTTTTAATAACTATTACATACATTGATTAGGTTTATATAAACGATAAAATACCTTATACACCTATGATAAGAAAATACAAATGACAAAGAATATAAGGAAGACACTAAATTTTAAAACTATTAATTCGCCATTACTCAGATACAAAAAAGAAGTTATATTAATAAATATTAGGAAAAAACAACAGATATTCCAGATATATATATATATATATATATATATATATATATATATATATATATATATATATATATATATATAGAGAGAGAGAGAGAGAGAGAGAGAGAGAGAGACAGAGAAGACAAAAATATCTCTCTATTTTTATTTAATATTTATTTATTTATGAAAATATCTAAAGTTAAATCTCAATTATTTTTTAAGGAAGTTAGTTGACAGTTCTAGATATCATGGGTGATAAATATTCAAAAGTCAGTCACTTTTATTATTGCCAACGTTTCAACCCATGCATGTTGGTCTTCATCTGGGCATATTACTAGCGCTTAGCGCTGAAGGAGCTCAAAGACTCGCCAGTATCAACATGCCCTGATGATGCCCCACAAACTTGGGTTGAAACGTCAGCAACATTAAAAATCTTAAAATTGCATCCTGATTATTTATCGCCCTCAATTGTTTTTAAAATAAAATCTCAAAAACCTTAAATGATAATATTCACTCACCAAGATTAGGCTTCTCGATATCTTCATTGTACGATGATATAGAACCACATACTGAAACTCTTCCAAACTTATTCATCGATTTATAAATAATGCTGCTCATATTTCCACCAACCTGATGAAAAAAATAATTAAAATAAAATCCATTTCTAAAATATTGTCAGTAGTTGTGAGAAATGTCTCAGAAATACTCTTAAACAAAAATTGATTTAAAGAGATTCAATGATGATTTAACTAACTAAATATATTATAAAATGGATGGATAGCTTGTTTAGACATTGTACTCTCAAGACACTGTTACTTAATTAGGCATTATAATATTTACATTATCAAAGTAGCAATCAACACCATTCGGAGCTGCTAGATTTAACGCCTCTTCTATGTCAGTAGTTTTGTAATTAAAAACATGGTTAATTTTCAGCTCATCCTTCAACCATTTAACTTTTTTATCAGAACCAGTAAAACCAATGACATTCATTCCTGAAATCCACAAAGTTAATTTAATTTAAAAAAATACATTTTCTAAAAATACAAAATAATCATGATTTTTCATCCAATAGAAAAATAAATATTTTTTATATAATGAAATAAGTAGTTTTTTAAATAATTTTGTACTCATTTCTCCTAAATGGAAACACAAAAGAATCCCTCATGACCTGTAGAAACAGTTTAACAATGTAACTAACTGTATTATTTCATATTGTTGATGGTTTATGCACTATATAAATAATATATAAATATTTTATGTATTATATAAATAATATATAAATGGAAAATTCCATCTGTCAATAATTTCTTGTTATAATGAATATTTTGTTTTTATTGTTATTAATTCTAAATGTGTGCTATTCTGATGTATTGTACAAATGTGTTTTATTGTAATATATTCGATTTAATAAAGTAATTCTGTTTAATAAAAAATTGTTTACCTAGCATTTTCCCATACTGCACTACCAATGACCCGACTGCTCCTGCTGCTGTTGTCACAACAAGTGTTTCATGAGGTTTAGGATTCAGAATTTCCCAAAATCCAAACCATGCCGTATTCCTAGGTTGCAAAGATTTTAATATAAATAGATAGATAGATAGAAGAATCAACTTTATTCTGGGACTACGTCCCTTGAGAATAACAATATTGTACATAAAATTAAACATTACATCTGGCCAAAATGTATATTACAATAAACAAAAACAAACAAACAAACAAAAAAAACAACTAAAAAATAAGGGATAAAAGAAGTGTTTACATAACTGTACAGATATCGGAAGCCATAATATGAGAAATAATGTCCTAATACTGCAAAATAGTTGCTATACACAATACGCTATGAAATTATAAATGAGCGACAGATAATAATAAAGATGTTATAGTAATAGTAGTATGTTCGTAGAACATAATAGTATAATCGAAATACAATAATAGTGTAATCGTACATACACAATATATACACCCAATAATACAATAATAGTGAGAATACAATAATAGTACAATAGTATATATACAATATACATATATTAATATATATATACATATACATACATACAATGCAACAATAGTATAATAATACAATATAGGCTACCCAGCGTCTGATTGAATTGTAAGGAGGAATTGGAAAAGGAGGGTTTTAAATGTGGATAAGGATGGTGCATGGCGGATTTTAAGTGGGATGGAATTCCAAAATGTTGTGGATCGGACAATAAAGGAGTGTTGAAATGAGGCCGATTTGTGGAAAGGGGTATAAAGGTCGGAAGGACGAGATCTTGTGGAGAGGGAGTGGATAGATGACTTGAATTGAAGGAGATTGAATGCGTAGGAAGGACGATGATTATAGATTATTTGGTAAAGGAATGTACCTAGGAAGTACTGTCTTCTGAAGGAGGGGAAGAGCCACCCTGACTCGGCGTAGTAGTGGGAAACATGAGAACGTCTCGGGGTCCCATTGACAAATCGTACTAAGCCATTCATTATTCTTTTCAGTCTGACTCCAAGTTCCGATGAGAGGCCACCGTACACTACACAGCCGTAGTCAATGTGGGGGAAGATGAGGGCGGATACTAGGAGTCTACGTGTGGATATGGGTAGGAGATGGCGGAAGCGATGGAAGAGTTTCAGGATGGAAATTGAACGTCGGGATATGAGGGAAATATGGTGATTCCAGGAGAGGGTTTGATCTATGATAACACCTAAGTTTTTAACTGAAGTGTTGAAGGTGATGGGTTGGTCATTCAGGTACAGGAGAGGAATGTTGGTATTTGATCTGAGAAGGGGTTTGGAACCGAGGACAATGGCTTGGGTTTTAGCAACGTTTAACCTTAATCCATTTTCACTTGCCCAGGCACAAATCCGATTTAGGTCTTCTTGTATTTTGGCAAACGCATCATGCCATTCAGAGGGAGCGAAGGAGAGGTAAATTTGGGAATCATCGGCATAAAGGTGATGTGAACAGTGAAGGATTGATTTATGAAGGTCGTTAATATATGAACTAAAAAGGAGAGGAGATATGCTGGAGCCCTGTGCCACTCCTGAGGACAGAGTTAGATAGGATGATAAAGGTTGGTTCGGGATAGAGACTGCTTGGGTACGTTGAGAGAGGAATGATTGAAACCAAAGGATAGAGCTGTTGGAAAAGGATAACGATTTCAATTTGGAGAAAAGGATGGAATGGTTAATGGTATCAAAGGCTTTGGAAAAGTCCAGGAGGATAAGGACCGTTAGTTTTTTATCATCTATGGCTGACTGAACATCACTAACGATTTTGATTAGGGCGGATTGTGTGGAGTAGCCTGGTCGAAAACCAGACTGGTAAGGGTCAAGTTGATTGGATTGTTCTAGGAAGTTGGAAATTTGGGATTGGACTATTCGTTCTAGAGGTTTTGCAAGGTTAGACAGAATTGAAATTGGACGGTAATCTTCAGGGGAAGAAGGGTTAGGATTTTTAAGTAAAGGACGGACAATGGCTTTTTTCCATGAGGAAGGGAATATTGCGTTCTGAAGGGAGAAATTGTAGATGAAAAGTAGAGCGGGAAGGATTTCAGGTAGGCATAATTTGATTAATTTGACGGGAATACCATCTGGACCAATGGAATTGGAATGAGATTTCATGACGGCGGATATGAGGTCTGTAGGAGAAATATCTGAAAAATAAAAGTTGTCGTCGTTAAATGATATTCCAGGAGTAAAGAAGGAAAAGGTTGATGGAGGAATGCAGGAGGAAGCTGATATAAAATATGAATTTAAATCATCAGGTTTGACTGGAAAGGCTGCTGAGGAAGGTGATCTGGAAGAGTCACAGAGGGAGAGTTTACGAAGGAGTTGCCATTTGGTTTTGGAATCAGGAGCTGCTGAAAGGGCTTCGTGGAAATAGGAGGATTTGGCTCTTCGGATATTGGTTTGTGTCAGGTTACGGAGCACCCTAAACGCTTGGTAGTCGTCAGCGAGTCTAGTGCGTCTAAAGCGTCTGCGGGCTGCATCGCGTCTCTTCTGAAGATCTTTAATTTGCTGACACATCCAGGGAGCAGGGGGGCGACGAAAGGTAGAGGTTTTGATGGGAGCATGGGAATCAAGGATATTACGGAGGTTGGAAGTTAAAATATCAACCATAGCGTCAATACATGAACAGGAATATATTCCATTCCAATCAAGGGTTTCCAGGTAGGGTAAGATTTTTTCACGAGTGAGGACATCAATATTACGGAAAGTTATGGTTCTAGGTAGGATCGGAGGAGTATGGATATTATATGAAATTTGAATTAGGTCATGAGAGGATAAAAAGGAGACCGGTACTTGTGAGGAGGAAAGGAGGTTCTGAGCGGAGTCGATAATGTAATGGTCCAACCAGGTATCGGACCTGGGGGTGTGATGAGTGGGCGAAAAAGGAACAATGAAAAGATGAAGAGAGAAAAAAAGGTTTTCGAGGTATGATTTATCGCTGGAATCGGAAAGGAAATTAGTGTTTAGGTCTCCGGAGATGATTATTTTGGTATAAAGAGGAACAAAGTTGAAGAGGGATGATTCAAATGATGGATCAAAGGGAACAAGAGGAGGTCTATACACTACGACATAAAGGATAGGAGATGTATCAAAGGAAATTTCAGCGATTAGGAACTCTACATGTGGGTGATCGGATGGTGGAGAGCAGTGGAGTATTCGGGTCTTCATGCATTCGTGAACATACAACGCTACACCTCCGCCAGTCCGGCTCGTCCGGTCGTGGCGGATTAGTGTGTAGTTAGGAAGGGAAACAGATGAGGAAGGGATGTAAGGCTTGAGCCAGGTTTCGGAAATTGCAATGATATGGTAACAATTATGGGTAAAGTATTCAAGGAATTCATCATAGTGGGCAGGGAGGGATTGGGAGTTGACGTGACAGGTATTAAGGATGCTAGACATGATTAGGCTTGAGGAAAATAAAGTCAGAATTTGGTGAGCAGACGCTGGATCGGATATGATACATTAGATGAAATAATGTAAAAATAAAAATATAAGAAAAAAAACCATTAAAAAGAAAAAAAATTTTGAATGCAATAATCAATAGAAATAAATTAATCAAAAATTTCCGGTAGTAACATAACATACATTTCAGATTTTCAGTGTAAGTCCTGTGAACTAAGCCAAATTGTTTATCGATGTTGAGGAGTAAACAGGGATCGAAGAGTCAGCCGAAGACGTCTAGGTCTTGACTCTGGTCGATAAAGACAACCTGATGACCGTCATCCTTTCGACACCGCAGTCTGCCGCCGGAGAACCATATATATTTTATTTTCCCTGCTGATTTCTTCTGCCGAGCGAGCCAGTAGAGGTACCTGTTCGTCGGGGTCATTTCCTCGCTGAGATAAATACGGTGGCAGTCATTTTCCTGCCAACCGATTTCCCGCGTCGAGAAGTCCCTTTTTACTTTTCGCTTCTGCACCAGGTCGTCTCTCACTGACTGCCTGACGAATTTCGCGATTATAGGCGGTGGTCGAGGGTCATCTTTTCTTGCTCTTCGGCGCAGCACAGTATCTATATCTTCGACATTGATTTTAATTCCCAGACCGGCCCCAATACTTGTAACCAGGGCTGCGGGAGTCTCACCTGCTCGAACCGGGATGCCCCGTATCTCGAGCGATCTACTAAGCAAGCCCTGTTCGGCTTTATTCAGCCTGACCTCCAGTTCACCGACTTTAGATTTGAGGGCTTTATTTTCTGAAATTATTTCTTCAAGCTTTTTAGATTGTCCCTCTAAGTGGTTTTCAATTTTAGATAGCCTAGTGTTTACTTCGAAGCTCAGATCTCCGTACTTGTCTAGCGCTACTTTAATATTTTTTAATTCCTGGTTGAAAAAAATATCTAGCCGCTTTACTGCTGCCAGAATTTCTGATGGTGTAGGCTCAGTATTGTGACTTTGATCTGGGTTTTCACCACCTGGTGGAATCTTTTTAGGCTGATCGCAACTAGCGCATATCCATCCTTTTTTTGAGGATTTTTGAGCTTCAAACTCTTTATCAGTGAGTTTACCGCACCTGCTGTGAAATAAAAGTTTGCATTTAACACAACATAAAATATTTTTCTCTTCTCGGCTGATGGTGCTGCTGCATAGCGGGCATTGTGCCATATTGTTATTTAGTAAATAGATCGTACTTACAATAACAAGCCGGGTTGTTATGATGCGTAATAGCAACAGCTGCGCTTAATCCTCTAGAGCTCAGTTGTTTACCACTGTCCCGTAGCTCGCAATAGTATAAAAACTTCGATACTTTTACTTTTCGATGAGTAGAGAGGAAATATGAAATGTCTATAATTTCTTTTAATAAAAAATATTAAAAAGAAAAAAAAACGGCAGAAATCAAAGCAATTTTAACAAAATAGAATACTTAATAACACAGAGATATGTTGACTGGTTGCTGTCTCTGGCCAATAATAAATAATAATCTAAATATATTTTCTTAGCTGACGATTTTATACGTACCCATTCACCCCAAGTACACCTAGAGCAGTTGAAAGTGGAACAAATCCAAAATCTGGTAAGACATATGGCTTAGATATATTGTCAAACGGACCTTTAACAGTATCAGGGTTAACAATAGTCTTGGTTCTCCATCCAAAGTCACCAACAACATTATCACCAACTTTATAATCTGCATGCCGGCTTTCTACTACTCTAGATTTTGGGATTAAAATAAAATAACTTCTAATTAAAAGTGTTATTCTACCGAAGATTACAAAAGTAAATTTAACATAATCACTAATAACATATATTTTCAACATTAAAGGAACTGCAAAATGAATTGAGAAATTTAATCATAAATACTAACTATAAGACATTTTAGTGTACAATTCGTAAATAAGTATTATTAAATATTAATAATAAGAACTAAAAAGCAATTCCCTCACGTCTACATAAATTAAAAGTGAAAGGAATAAAATTATACTGGGCGTCTCAGTTCTTAATGGTAAATTTCTGGAGTATGATTCTAGACAAAATTCCTAACAAAAAAGTTGTTATGGTGCGTAAGCCATTTCCGGAAAAGGAGTTCAGACCAATTTTGTGTTTTTCTTAAGGTGGTCATGTTTTTTTATTGAATAAGAAGGAATTGTTCAAGATAATTAAATTCTAAGTACAACTTTTTAAAGTAGACAATATTTCTTTCAGGAAACAGTGGTTAAATTTAGCAAGGTCAATAATAAAAAGGACTTTAAATTTATTAAGGTCAATGATAAAAGGGATGTTCAGAACTTCCAATACAGCCGCTGTACCTCTGCAGTCACAGTGTCCATACACAAGCAGCATATCTCTGTACAACGGCAGTATCAGACCTCTTGAAAGTCTCTTTTATCATTGACCTTGCTGAAGCACTGTTTACTGAAAGAAATTTCGTATAATTTACAAAGGTGTACTTAAATTTAATTATCTTGAACAGTTTTTGAACAATTCCTTCTTATTCAATAAAAAGATGACTGCTTAAAAAAAAAACAACACAAAATTGTTCTTGACTTCTTTTCCTTTCAGAATAAGCCCATAAATAAATAAAATGAACTTTTTTGTTGAAAATTTTGCAACAATCACCTTCCACAGTTAGGTCATTAAGAACTGAAACACCTTGTATAACGAAACTAAAAAAGTATTTTATATTAATTATATTTTAATTAATTTTTATTATTAATAATTAATTAATTATTTTTTATTCTGATGGCTTTGCAGACCTAATCGATATTTTACCACGTTAACCACCCTTCTCCTCCTCTGCCTATCTTTGGCTATTTCTTTCCAGTTACCTGCATACAGCTCTATTGCATCTTTGTTTATTTGATCTATCCATCTGTTTTCTGGTCTTCCACATGGCCCCTTGCCTACTATTGAGGCATTCATTGTGGTGTAGAGACTTACTGATGGTTTGCTCCGAACTGCAGATCCCACTCATCTTAATTTCCTTGCCTTCGTATCATGAGATATTCATTGAACATTTTCTGTAATTCGTTTTTTGTTGCCGCTACTCCTCTATGTGTTAGTACTCTGATCCCAGATCACTACAGTTATCATACAGAATATTTTTCTTCTCAAATCTATCAATATTTCAATATGTGAAAAGTTAGATAAAGGATTTTATTTGTTGAGCTTTCCAGTTTAATATTTCGATAGTTCTTATATAACCACATAATTTCATAAACAATACATAAAATATAGAAGAGATATTTCAGTATCATGACAGAGAGTGGATTATTAAGGGTAGGAAGTCTTCTGACTCCATAGTGATTATAGGATCACTTTATAGGATCAAAAACAACAAGAGTATCAATGAAATGAAACAATATTACATAATATTGTAATAGGATGTTTTGATTGGGTTGCATTTTTAAATCAGTCATTAGAGGATTTAATTATCTATTTTATTCAAGTAAACAGTTACAAATTTTTAAACATTGACTTAATTTTGTATATCATGGCTTCATTCAAGAAATACTAATAATATTTTAACTATTTTGTAATTTGAAAAAATATATGATGGGACTTCACTAAAGCATCTCCTTCATTTTGTGGGAAAGAATAATTACAAAACAAATCTTAAGGTCACCTACCACGACAAATGAAAGTTTTGAAAAATATATTTTTTTTTTCCTAGGAATTTAATAAAATATAATACAATTTGTAGGATCAATTCTCCTACTTCCCACAATGACTGGTCCCTGCAGGAACTTAGACCATATAATGGGAGACTCCTTAATTAGGGGAGACCTTACAAGTTGTAACATGCTTCAATGAACAGGATAGTAAAAAAAAAAAAAAAGAAATACAAATTTTAATTTAATACCATTGACATAATTCTAATGAAACAAAACGTTTGTAATTCTAATATAAATCATTATTATTTGTAAAATTGTTATATTCACCTTGCTACTTGAGAACCAATCATAGTTATCCCAGTTGGTAAAGACTTACATCTAAACCTGAAAAAAATGTTTAAATTGTATTAATAATAAGAAATAATGTAATAAAATAATGTGTAAATAATCTTTCACTTTGTACACCTACCTGAAATAAGGATCAACACTCAGGTAAAGAGCTTCAAATAGAACATCTAGAAACAAAAAGTCATGAAGAGACGTTTCATAATCTTAATCACTGAGAATTTTGATGAATTTTCTATTGGTGAAATAAAAAATTATGCGCTCATTGTAACTATGTTTGATATATAAATTTTTTTTTTTGCATAATATGTTTTTTTAATCAATAGATAAAGTACAAATTCACAAAAACATTCTTAAAAGTTCAGCTCCATTAAAAATGTACTTAGAGACTTTTTGCAATAAACTGATGATATGTAGTTTACAGGGAAATTAATGAATAAATATTTTTAAAAACTGATCCTTCAGTTGTCCCAGAATTCATGGATAGTGCCTGATTCTGTTAAAAAATATTGGCACACTAGCTCAAGATATAAAAAACATGATTTTCTTTCCTTCAATTACTACTACATTATATTAAGCCATTATTGTGATAATTATGTTAAGGATGACTGATGAAAACAAAATTATTGAATGAAGTTTATCGACTGTTCTACATATCATGGGTGATAAATATTCAGGACGCAGTTGAAACCAATAAAAACTTTGTAATTACTGTGTCCTAAATATTTATCACCCAGGAAAACAATATTATTTTATCACTATTGCAATTAGTAGTGGGTCTACAATTAATCTTTGAGGGAGGCTTGCATATATTTTTTTAAAATAAATTTAATTACTCCTAAGAAAAAGAAAAATCCTGTATAAGATAATGTTTAAGTGGTCCTTATAGACCTGCCAAAAAATAACAATAATATAACTTCCAAGACTTTTTTTGGGGAATCCATTGTCCCCTCCCTCTCAACCACAGGTGAATCTAAAGGTGGAGGGAGGGAGAGTGGCTTCATCCCAAAAGCCCCCCAAAATGGTAAAATATTACCATGTCTTCTGAAAAAAATATTATGTCTAAAAGTATTATTATTTGTGTAATTACTTTTAATAGTACTTTAAGAATCATTTTAAAAAACATTTTGTAGAGGTAGTTACTTTCTTTCTTTTTCTTCCTAAGTATTTTTTCTTATATTTAAAAAAAAAAAGTTTTCGGGCTGAAGCCCCCCAAAAAATTAAATCTTGGATTCGCTAGTGCCCCCAACCACAATCAAAAGTCTGCCCCTATGCAGAAGATACCTTAAGAAAGTGTGGTGACCTATATAATCATGTCCATTGGTTTTATCTCATTTCTTTTTCAAATGAGTTCATATCAATTTTAATTTGAATTATAATGTTTATTTATTTATTTTTATCCTTTAAAAATATGTTTTTCCTAAAATCAACATATCAGTTCAGGACAATAAGTGTATGATAAATCACTGATACATATGTATGTAACAACAGCCTTGTTAAAGAATTTAGAAAGTATAAACGAAAATTTTCTGATGCATTAAATAGATAATAAATTGGGTAAATATTTCAAAGGAATCTCAATCTATTAAGGTCTGTACTAACTATTCGACTCACCTCCGTCTTTCATCTGTGGCAGTTTTTCTTCAACCAACTTGAAGTCCGACTTCTTGGGTAGCCCCTCGAATCTCTTCTGGAATATAAACCTCGAGCACTTCATTTCTTTGTCAAATGGTCAAGGAGGAGTGTCTGTGCGATTTTATAAAGAAAAAGATAACCCCACTCCGTCTTTTCCATGTCCGATCTATATAAAAGTAGATCCGAATTTGTCCCAAGGAAAAATTGTAATTGGTTATTACCAACGCTCGGATAATTATGCAGTAAGAACCCTGAAATATGCAGCTCAAAATATGCAGTTAAAGAAACATGAAAAATGCAGTAACTGGTCTTTAAATATACTAAACTTACTAATTAACTGATAACTAATCTGTCAATAACGCATTTAAATAAAATGACTTGCCAACAAACAGCTTTGAAATGAAAAGAAATAATGGAGCGTTTGAAAATTACAATTACAAGTTTTTTTTTAATATATAAATTAAAGAATGAAAATAACTAAACATATAAAATTTAGGAGTATTGGAATGTTCGAAAGTTCGATACGAGAAACTCCTTATGTAGTACGCTATTAAATAATTTAGTTCCTTCATTATTTATTTTAGATTTATGATTTCCAATAATCTACCTTTGTAATCAATCAAGAAAAAAACACTCAAAATTTGAAGATATACATTTCAAGAAACGTAGAATCCGAAAATCAAATTAAAAAATCCATCCGCTCGCATCCACGGCTTATCTCTGAGACTACTGGACCTACCAACATAATCCGAATGTGGAAGGGCAATGATCGTTTCGACATTATCCTCCGTCCCTTTCTTTCAAGATGGCATGTGAAAAAACCTTTCTTGTCATAGGTTAAAGTTGGTCTTACAGTCTTCCCCTCGAAGTTTTTAAAATTTATTTATATAACATATTTCACCAAAAAGTACTTACCTTTAAAGATGGCGGCCAAAAGACCTGTGCCTTCTAGATTGTAGCGCCTAAACCGATCTACTGATTATAATGAAACTCTTTCTCGAAATCCTTTAAATTTATTTATATAACATACTTCACCGAAAAGAAACTGGAAAAAAGTTACGAGGAGTGAAATTTGAGGAATAACTCAAAAAGTATTGACTTTTTTGTGATTTCTATAATGTCATTTAAAAGTTTTAAAAATTGCCTAAAGAATACAAAAGGATCGTTTAAATTAGACAATTTGATGCAATGATGTGTTGTTCTAAATGTTTTCCACATATTCTATTGCAAAGCTGATATACTTTGTTTTTATTTTTGATTTTTGGAATGTCTTACATAAACTGAAACAAACGAAATTGTTGTCTATATTTCTTAATAAATTACCGATGATAGAAAAAAAATATTCTGGTCAATATTAGGAATCGCCTTTTATTTATTTTCCTCTATGCAACAATGAAAATAATGTTACATTTTATATATAACTGTTTGGAAATAATAAACCATTGTGTAATAATTTGCAATGTTTTTACAAATTGTTTTAATATTTATTTATTTTTATTAATTTTAGTAACAAGTTGTCCAGTTTTGAACTTCAATCAAGTCATATTCCTTTCCTCCCTTCAGTTTTAATAATGATAGGAGTGAATTATTTAGAGAAAGTTGTCCAGTAGTTTCTAAAACTATATGGACCTTTATAAAAATTTTGTAAAAATAATTTTACTTCTTGGCCCATTAACTTAAAAAACAATGAAAAAAGATTTTAAAATATATGATTTGAGGTAATAAGCAAAATTTGTATCTAAGTTTACAAAAAATACAATTAAAATTGAGCATACAATAGTTATCTGAATTTTTGAGGAACATGAACGAGAATTTGTTACTAGCGAGCAGCAATACTGAACGAGTATACTTTTATGTGGATAAGAAATAATAGAAATATGTACATACCTAATAAGACATCATTATTTTTTTAACTACAATTTCTTCGGTGATGTCCTTGTCTCATTAGTGAGTTTTAGATTTATCAATTTTTATTTTTTCCCCAATTTTCATGATAGGAAAACTAAAAGTTTAGTGTTTTAAAATGCTAATGTTTGATACAAAAAACTAGTTATACAGTATGATATTAAATAGTTTGATTCCTAGATTATTATTATTATTTTTTTTTTTTTTGCAAATATTCCTATCTTCTTCAAAATCCACCATTAGATATCTGTCATCCCAGTAACATTCTGATTTAGATTTTGTTTCATGTCTTATGTTTGGAAGAGTTGGTTAGTTCAGTTGTAGGACACTCAGCTTCCAATGCTCAAGGTCTCAGATTTGAATCCCGGCTCATGGCAGAAAAATTATTTATTGTTTCATTGGCTGTGGGACAACCCTGGGGTATGGAGACCTTCCTGGGGCACATCCAGCCTCTATAAAGTGGGTACCCTTAATTAATAATTGATTAAGGGGAAAAAACCTGGTGGTTGAGCATGATCCTGGCCCGATCATCTCCCTGCAAAACCGTTATCCTTGAAATAGTACTTTCCCTAAATAGTACTGAACCCAAGACCCTTCATGGGTTGTAGCGGTACAGGTTTTTTTTATTATTTTTTTGTATGTCTTATGTTCAGTAATGGAGTACACACTTCTAAATTTGATGCATCTATTATTTCTTCTGCATAACATAGATTAAGAAATGGAGTCTGTCACTCTTATTTTATAAAGATGTTTCCTTGACTTGTCAAGGCCAGTAATCATGTGAAATTCTACAACAGCATCCTTTTTCAGCATGTATCTTAACACTTCTAAACCAATTAACTCCTATGCACAAAAGATTTTAAAACAATAAAACCTACTTAAATAATTCACTCCAGTATTGGTTTAGCCCTTGAATAAATTTGTACTATAGGCGGGAAGGGATTTTCAACCTGAAACTCTCTCCCCAAAATGGACATATTTTTTTCTTATTGGTCTATAATTGTTTCCACAAGTGATCAGAGCTAAAAAAACAATTAAACTATATTTGAACGTTTTGGGAATACTTTGTCCTTATTAGCATCTACAATTGTATAATTAATAAATAATGGGTTCTATATTGAATCAGTCTTTTAAATTTCTTTTAAATTAACACCTTTTTGAATTTAATTTAAATAATTAAAAAAAAAACTGCTAACTTCAAAACAGAAAGCAGCTCGCATTATTCATATAAAATAGCTAATCATAAATATTTAAATAACATTTAGGTAACTTTAGTTGCTAAAAAGTTTCATAATATAGATAGTACTGATGGTAAATGCTCAGTAAAATGGTGTCTGACAAAAAGGAGTCCTGTTCTCTGAGAAGTCAGTAAATAATTTTTATTTGATTTAATCAATTACAAAATTTTATACTTAACAATTTTAACCTAAAATCATTTTACATATAATACGAGAATTGTATAATTAATAAATAAGAACTTTTATATTGAATCAGTCATAAATTTCTTATAAATTAACATTTTTAATTTAATTTAAATAACTTTAAAAAATAAATTTAAAAAATGGTGCTAACTTTAAAAGAGGAAGCGGTTCATATTCCATATTATTCATATAAATAATAGCTAATCATAAAACTTTAAATAATAGTGAATGTAATAAAATGTAGGGTAACTTTAGTTACTAAAGAGTTCCATAATATATACTTCTTTTTGTTTTTTGTTAGGAAGTTGTTGAATTTATTCAGAGGTTAGCAATAAAAACTTCCATGAATGCAAACAAATTTCCATGTGTGCTCTTTTGTCTTATATTCCATCAAAGGTATTATCCACAGTGAATTGTTAATCAGGTGATGTGGTGGCTTGGAATAACACCTTTGATGAAGTGTATAAAATAAAAAGAAAGAGCACACATGAAAATTTATATAAATGAATTGCAAGGATAGTTCTGATGATGGGAAAATAGATCCCGAAAAATCAACTATAAGGTAAATGTAACAAATACAAAATTTGTTTGCATTTATGAAAATTTTTATTGCCAACCTCTGAATGGATTCCATAAAAAGATGGTGCTCACGGTAAATGCTCAGCACTTTGTAAGATGGTGGCTGACAAAGAGGAGTCCTGTTCTCTGAGATGGCAGGACTTAAATAACTTTTATTTAATTTAATTAATAACAAAATTTAATACTCACCAAGTTTAACCTAAAATCATTTTAGATTTATTATGAGATGAAGAATACGAACAATGTTCCAATCTTTTACATTTTTTAAAAAGAGAAAGTACGGAAAAAAGTTACCGCATGGTATGATAATAGTTGCATGACAAATAGAAAGTATGTAACGTATATGAATCGTTAATTTTACTGATGTATGATGTGTTGTAATTATAGAGATGAATATGGTGCAGGTGCAGGTTTCTGAAAGCTTCTATGCGTTTAAGATGTAAAATAAAATAATAAAAATTATAGAGACTGTCATTAGTAAAAATTGTGATCTTCAAAGAATATAGAACAGTTTAATATTACCTGAGTACTCTTTTAAAATTATTAAGCATGCATTTCATCTTCTAAGAGTAAACATATGTCAAGAGAGAGAAATACTTTATTGAAAGTAGTGCTGCCCTAGTGTATAGAGTTGCTTTTTAAACAGCATACCGATCAATTTATATGGACATATCTCTTACATCATATTATTCCATTATTATATAAACATATAATTTTTTTTTTATCCCTCTTCACAACACTAGTCCATATACCATATCATTATCAATACCACATTAAACAATACACATAATATAAAAAATGTATCCCTAAAAGCATTATTGTTTCTGTAAACAATTTTTTTTTTTTTTCAATTCAAAGAAATGCGAAGAAATGCTTGACAGCAGTTCCGTGGGGTGGTAAAGAAGAATTTGGAGGAGTTTTTAGTGGGTAGGAATCTCGCACTGTTGTATGACTTTGATGGTTGCACTTCGTCTAATGAAAGTGAAAATTTTTCCCCTCCCAGAAATAAAAAACAAACACACACTGTTCGAGTACAATAAAATTTATTATTATATAAGATTATCATAGAATACTACCAACTGTATTGATTCACATTGTTGTAACTAAGTATGTCACATGATTGCGAATTTTCATTGACACACACACACACACAGAGGCACTTATATAATAATAATAACCTGTATTTTATTAGGTTCTAGTCTACCTTCGGGCGCCTCTCCAAGTGGAGGATAGTCGAAAATTCACCACAGTGGGTACCGGGGAAATGAAATACCGGGGATGGACCAAAACGATGCATGATAAGGAAATACTACAAATGGGGAGCACATTAGCTCAGTGAGTTAAGCCCAATTTCCAGGGTTCAAATCCAGCTGATGTTAATTAATTTTTCATCGCTTGAAATCATTGGGGCACACCCAATCTCTATAAAGTGGACACTCTTAATTAAAGGGGAAAACCTGGCGGTTGAGCATGATCATCTCCCTGCACAGCCATTGGCATCGAAACTTCCTTACTAAGTACAAAATCCAAAACTCTTCATGGTTTGTAATGGTACTTTTTTGGCTATAAATTACAAATGTTTATTTTGTTAAATTAGACCTATGGGCAAGAAGTGAGATTTCTTAATAATTCATTAATAAACGTCTAGACTATAAACTATTAATTTTGTAAAACAATTGTGTTAAACTTCATGTAAAACTTTAACTCTAATTATTAAAATGTAGTAGTAAGTTTTGTTTTTAAAAACATCTTAATAGATATATTGGAGCAGGATATTTAGGTGAGTAAGGCATTATGTTCCTATTCTTTCATTCCTAGGTTCGAATCTGACTGTGACAAGTAGTTATTTACCCTTTTATACTAGCTGTGTATTGACCACTAGGGTCAGGAGTCTCCTTAAGAGGAAACACAGAAATTAAGAGAAAAAAACCTGTGGCTGAGTGAGATCTGAAGCAATACCTCCTTACAAAGTACTGAAGAACTCAATTTGTATTAGTAAAAATACATTTCTTTTTAATGCATATATTAAACTTAAGGACAAAAAAAAAAGAAGTGAAATATCGAGTTTTATCCCATGCCTGCGAATGTAATAAGAGAAAAATCATAATTTCAATTGAAAAAAATGTGAATATAGGAAGGCATAAAAAAAATCTGAAAAATCCATCAAATAAATTTTTTATTCATCTTTTTCAGTACAAAATACCTGAAGTGCCAACATGGCTGAATTCAGGTAAAACTGCTATACAACAATTGAACAACGGGTGCAGGTAAGCGTTTTAAGTTCACAAGTTCTTAAACATTTACATTAAGTATAATTAATTTTTAAGGGAATCGACAGTGAAGGAAATTGTTGAGCTGTTTTCCTCACTGAAAGATTTAAGTAGTAATAATAAAGCACAAAGTGTTAATTTAAAAATAATATTTATTATGGTAATCATTTACAGAACCTATTCCGGGTATGACAACCACTTATCAAAGAATAAAGTTATGAATATAACGATATAACCTTTTCCACAAAATTTAATATTTGAAATAAAAAATATAAGTATGAAAGAAAAATTTATATATGCTAATATAGATTTGGTTTAAAATTTCAAAATTATATTATTAAAAGTAGTTGTCATAATACCAGAATAGCTAAGAGAAAACATATCGTTTCATATAAATTAAATATTTCTAAAATAAATTATATTAAAAAAAAAAATTAAAAATTGTAACAGACAATCTTTATACTTAGGCAAGAATGAATCGATAATACCTCCATTAAGGTATTTGATATTTCAATCTTATAAACACTCATATTTATTTATTTGTGAATGTTCTTATTGAATATATTTATATTTATTTATACACAAATAATTGTAACATTTAATACAATATATATATACACATCTCTCTTATAAATATATTATATACATAAATAGATACAATCTGTACCAAATTAATTAAAATTATTGATTTAGAAATTAATCTAATTTCTAATTAAAATCACAGTAGTTTTGTTTGCTAATGAACACAACTTTTTGTTCTTCTCTTGCAAAATTCTTATCTACATAATATTTACATTGGGTTCTCAACTTAATATAACTAAAACATAAAAATAAATTTGTTTACTAAATAATGTCTAAAGTGAAAGGTGAAACTCATTAATAACTATTCTTTTTTAGTCTGTAACACGCAACAAACACTAATTCGCACCAAGTTCCATACACACACTTAAAAACGAAGATGAGGTTTGTACTTGACCAAATGCCTGAAACAGAACAGTAATATGTTTTAAATAATTTATTTAAATATATCACAAACCTATAGATTTTGCTTTGTAACATATTGCTCCTTAGCTGCAACTATGTCATAACTCAATGTTAACAAATTTTCAGGATATGAGTTTGAAGTTTTCAAAATTTATTAACTTCAGTCCGGCTTTAAAACAAAATAAAATAAAGATCGAATAAAGATCGGCTACGGGGGAATCGGAAATAATGTTCTAACAGTTAAAAGTTCATGTTACTGCAATTATTCCTGCTGTAATAACTAAAAATCATCATCATCAAGTTATGACATTTATACAGTAAATTAATAACATGTAACATTATAATAAAGTGATTAGTATAAATTAGAATAATACTATATATTTTTTCATTAGTACTTTTTTGGTAACAAACTTTATATGATTTGGACACTTATTTTTCAAAAATTAAAAATTATGCCATTAATTTTCATCAAATTACTGTATTGAATTGTTAAGAAAAACACCATGTTTTTGTTCAACAATGTCTTATAAATTTCAAAAATACATACAGTGGACAGCAAAAGTTTTCATACAAACATTATTTGGAACTTCAGTTGGTGTTTAACTCCTTCTATTACATTATTGTTTTGGCTGTTATACAAATATTAATTTATATAGGACTGCTAGATTATTTGTACTGTGGAAGATAAATTTTAGAAAACTTGAACGCCTTGTTTTTAAATTTATATAAATTAATTTATGATTATATGGCAGCAGAAGTTTTCATACAAGACAGTTTCTATGTAAATAAACTAGTGTTTATTGTTTATATACTTATCAATTATTAATCCTCTCTCGTGCCAGTATGATCGTTACTATATGAATTTCTTTCATTCAAAATTTGAACGTTGTGCGGTTAATTCTAATATAATTTCTTGAACAAAAATAAATACCTCATTGGAAGAGAAAATAATAGTGATTTTTTTCACTGAACAAGAACATACGTTCAGAAAAATTAGAAACTGGATTACCATTTTCTACAGTCAGTATAGGGTATAATTAATATATATATATATATATATATATATATATATATATATATATATATATATATATATATAAAAAATCAATCCGGCCATCCTAAAATATTTATTGAAAGAGAAGAAAGAATAATTGTAAGAAATGTGAAAGAAAAGTCTCCAAAACCCGCAAAAAAAGTAATGCTTTTTTAACAAGAAATAAATGAACAAACGGAAAAAAAAAGCCAAGCCTGAAACGACCTGGAGGATATTAAAGAGATATCGATTTAAAGCCAGGTTAAGTAGAAAAATCTTTACATAATTTTAAATAATAAGAGAAAAAGGCTGACTTTCGCCAAAGAGTTTAAAAGACCTACAAATCACTGGAATGACATCATTTTTGCAGATGAGAACACATTTAATGTCTTTGGATCGGATGGTAGATTAATTGTGTGGAGGAAATCTGGTAGAGAATTGAAATTTAACCGCTTCAGTAAAAGTTTAAGGTAGGAAAGTTCTTGTATGGGGCTGTATGTCTGCACATGGTGATGGAAATTAGGGTTTTAATGAAGGAATAATGGACAAATTTAAATATATCAATATATTCAAACACAATTTAAGCTCTAATGCAGCAAAAATTGGCATTAAACGGACATTTAAGTTTCATCAAGACAATGACCCTAAGCATAAGGCACCTCAAACATGGGAATAGTTGTATAATTTTCATAAGGTGCTTGAAACTCCTCCTATATTTAAATGCCATAGAACATTTATGGGCTAATCTTAATGCAAAGCTCAGGAATCATAATATAAGGTCAGTAAAAGATCTTTAAAACTAAATTAATGGAAGAATGAACCAAGAATACCATCCCGATTAACTTTAAACTTGGTATAATCAATTTCAAACTGTTTAAAAATGGAATTAAAAAAACAAAGGGTTACATTCAAAATATTAATTTAAAAAGTTTTATAAAAAAAAAATGTTACAATTTATGTTTCATACAATTCGGTATGAAAATTTTTGTTTCTTTAAAATTATAATTTTGTGTTTAAATTGTATTAAAAATATATACAATTTATTGTTTAGCCAAATTCGTTAGGTTAACCAAAGCGATTTCTATTGATATTATAATAATACATTGAAATAAAAAAAAGATTGTTGGAAAGAATCGTTTATATTGAATTTTCTGAATTTTACAGAAACTACATTCGGTCAGTGTATGAAAACTTTTGGCTGTCCACAGTACGTTTAATGAAATTTAAGTATTATCATAATCATGAATTGATTCAAGGCTTCTTTTTTTAAGGAATTTGTTTCAGCAATTGCTATTGCAACCCTAAAAGTTGTCCAGTATTTTACCATGGGACACTTGATTTTAAATAAGTTGTAGACCTCCCTCTAGTCTAATATGAGCAGTGTAATATTTGATTAGTTTAAATTTTCCAGTGATAGTTTAACATTGTCAGTTTATTTTATTTTTTTGAAAAGTTATAAAGTAACATACTAGAACATTAAATCACTAAGAATTTGATAAATTTCTCCTCTCTGAAATCAGAATATTGTACATTTAATAAAACTATTTTCAACATATCATAGGATTTATTTTATGAATTTTGGTGTCATTAAATAAAATTGAATACTTAATAGTTGACTGTTATATTATTAAGGAACGGGATGGTCCGGGGTGTCGGTCATTAATAGACTAAATAGTTTTAATTGGCTTTTAATAAAATAGTTTTGCCACTATTTAGTTTATTTATGACCAACACCCTGCACCATCTTCTTTTATTATTTTGTTTTATATAAAGTTAATTAGATTTTTTTCATGGTCATTTAGGTGTATGTTTACAGGATACACAATATAATTGTTGAACCTACATGGACTAATTTTCTCGTTTCGCACAAAATCTTCACATTTTTTTCCTAGGTTTTACTCCCTACTATTCATTATAACAATAAAAGGAAAAGTTTAAATACATGTTGATGCTGAATAGTAAACATACAATTTTGCATGAAACTAAAAATTTATTTTTATTTTATATAACTTAGCAACCAGTCCCTTTGAATAGTTTTATCTTAATTGTTTATAGTTCTAAAATTAAAAAATATATAAAATTTACTCACTTATCTAATATATCCCAGAAAACCATAAGACTAGCTCGATCTAAATGGCGTTTGGTACGTGAAATATCCATCACGCTGACATTCCACCTTGCAACATTGCCATCCAATTTCATTTCATCATACTTTAGGTGGAAAGCACAAACTAAAAACAAAAAAAAGTTAATATTACATACAACAAAGACTTCATCATAAATTTTAATGAATTACATTACATGAAATTAGAAAATTTCCATTTTTGTAAATATTAACACTAAACAAATAGATGGTGTGGTTCCTGTTGTTATTTTATTTGGTTAAATTTTATATTCCAATAATCTTACTCAGAAACATTATTAGATAAATAAAGTAAAACACATATAAATACAATACTAAAATTTATTTATTTTATTTGTTTCTTTCCAGATCTTGTAGATCTTTTGCCGCCTTAACCAGTCTTCATCATTTCTGCCTATTTTTTTTTACTTATCTGCATGCAGCTCTACAATATTTTTGTCAATTCCATCTATTACTCAGATATTTTATCTTCCACATAACTCTTACCTACTATTAAGGCATTCATTGTTGTGTAGAGAATTCCTTATAGATTGATAAGAGGTACAAATCTCACCTATCTTAACCTCCATGCCTCCATTCCAAGAGATACTGACTAACCAATTTATACAAGCAGTCCTTTTTTTCTCCTTCTCCTCCATACGTTAGAACCCCTCTCCAGTTATCATGCGGAGGATTTTTCTCTCAGATGTTTCTAATTAATTCAGATGCTTCTTGTAATTTCTAGAAAGCTGGTTAGTGTCCAGGTCTCACAGCTGTATACCAGAACTGTGTTTACCATAGCATTGTTCACCCTTAATTTGAAATTTTTTAGGATCCCAATACCTGTGAAAGAGAGAAGAAAGCTCTGTTGGCACTTGTAATATGCTGGTTCATTTGCAACTGTTGGTCATTCATTGAAGTTATTGTGGATTCGAGGTATTTGAATTTGTCTCCTTTCAAGAACAATTTCCCTTCTACACAGATCCTGTTAGGTAACGTTTCCTTTAAAAAGTAAACAAAACAGTTTCTTAACCAATTTATTTTTATTTTACACAATAATTATTTATCAGGTTGGGTTGAGACAACAAACACACATTCCTCAATTATACAATATAAAATCATGCATTAATTGTACATAACATTTATGAATTTCCATTGCTTTGTCGGGGTGTACTCTTGGCGCGCTTTCAAACTGTCACTATTTATATTTCACTCACAATGTTCTGCAGTGAATCCTCCTCTGTAATGCTGTATTCAACTTCTACGATCTTCTATTCTCCCTTATTGACACTCACTTTTTCTTCTCTCGATCATCTTTACTAGCAGGCTGGTTACCTTCTGCCTTAACATATGACACTTGCTTCCCCTTCCATCTGTCTTTGTTCATTTTCGACAGTAATTCGTGACGTCATTGCTTTTGCGCCACTATGTAATATTTACATTACGATATATTATTATATATTATTATATATTATATATATATATTTTTTTTTTAAGTTCATTTACTTGCAGGCCGATGTACTCTGCTTCCATTATCAGAGTCTTAGCGAGTCTATCATCCATGTCTTCTTGTTTACATCCAAGGATAGCTATATTATCTACATCTCCAAGTATTTTAAAATAATAATAGATTTAAAATTGATGAGACTGAAGATACTAATGAATTGTTTCATTAGATTCATCTTTAGAGTCTCCAGGCGTTCTCACATCTCTGAGTTAAAGGGGCTTTATCCAGGTTTCCAATAGCAACATTTCCTAGGAGTTTACCAATCCTTTAGAACCAAAATGACTCCTTATGTCCTTGATTTGTTCAACGTTCAATCCTTCTTCTTTTCTTCTGCTCATTCTTAAAATATGATATATTTTTTCTCGTAAAACCTTTTAAAAAGATCATTTATCATGCATGCTACCTTGTTCTGGAATTACTTACCCACCTGTATAAGCAAAACCTCAACTTTAACACCATTTAAACACAAAATATGTTTTTATCTCCTTAATAACCAATCTTCTGAATATATATAATAATAATGTGTTGTGATATTAGAGTTACCAATCTATTGTTCTACTGTTGTCAATTATATTGCTTACTGGGGCAAATTAGGGTACATACATCACAATATATCTTAACAAAGAATATTTATTTATCTATAATTTATTATTTGCATTTATTTATTTATACTTGCCTTTATTCCTTATTGCATAGTTTTATAATTTAATTACCGTTTTATACCAGGTAAATGAAATTCTCCATTATTCTTAGGGGACTATGTCCCAGAATAAAATTTACTTTCTAACTTTTAAATAAAATTAAATGACAGTACATTGTCATATGAAACAATTAAATAGTGAAGTAGTACTTTCAAAAGCTTATAAATACTATTTAATATAGGAATATCCAACATCAACCAAAGAACAGATTGCAGAAAAAAAGAGGACTCACTTTTGGAAAAAATATCAACAGGATTTCCGTTCCAGGGCCATCCTTTGAACTGCCAAGCCGGCCCCATTACAAAGACGGCTACGACACGGTCCCAATCCATGTTGTTCAACTTGCCGGGGTTGTCTATGACCCTGTATGGCACGGTAAGTCCTCCATCTTTTCTTCGCTGCAACAGCACTTCATTACTCCTCTTTTCACCAGTACTTTTCTTTTCTTCGGTACTTACAAACCTGAAACAAGAAACAACAAACACATTAGAAGAAGTGCTCAGAGGTTTCAAAATAGATTTCTGAAATGATAAATATCTGATCGAGTTGGATAAGCTAACTGAAATTTAAACATGAAATCTAGAAACAATAGAAAAAAAGTAAGGCGAGTGCTTTAGACATCAACAAGGCGAGATTAATAACATGTAATATAAATTATTAATAATAGCTCATTATAAAGGGAATGAAATGCTGAATATTTCCCTCGCTTTCAGTATACAGGTCCGATTTTTAGTGTTTGAGATATTTTAATCCTAATCTTCAAGAAAACTCGTTGGTTTTCGACACTATCTTTTCCTTTTCGCCTCTCTAACATGGCGTCGTGTCAAGATTAATTTTTAATAACAGCCCATTACAAAGAAGAAGAAATGTTAAACATTTCCCTCACTTATAGTAGCTGGTCTGATTTTTAGTTTTTGAGATATTTTAATCCATATACAAAAACACTTCAATTAATTGACAACAGCCAACTTTACTCGAGTGTTACATATCGGAAATCTGATGGCTCAATCTAATTCACTCTCCATAAAAAAGTACAAAACACGCCTAAAGAAGTTTTCACTAAAAAAAAAACTTCCCGGTTCCCATGAACCTGCCGAGAAAGGAAGCTGTGGCAGAGTTCTGGATGATAAGGCAGAATCTCCACATTGTAACCTATGTAATTCGGGATCACATATGGACGCAGCGCATTTAGGTGTATGCTCCCGTTTGATGAACATAAGAGATACCACATTAGAATGGTACTGGGCTGCAAGATCTCTGATGGCGGAAGCAGATAATAAAGAGAAGCATACTTTTTTAAAAAAAGTCAGCCAAATAAATAAATGTATCTTCCTCACCATTTTCATTTGGAACATAAAATATACATCAAATTTTTTCAGATTATAATTTTATTTAAAACTGAAAAGAATAATTCAATAAAACATAACAAATAATTCACATTGAGTTTAGTAAATAATATAATTATACACCGTCATATGTTTTCTGCTTACCTCACCACTTCACTCTCATTACATCATCTGTTTATTGAAAAAAGTCATTAAGTACATTTTAGATGAAACTAAACTTTTAAGAACTTTTTGTGCACTTTGACAGTAATTATTGATAAAAAAAAAGAGCACATAAATAATACAAATCCCTTTATACATTAAATATGATTATAATAAGCTCACAATTTTCTGCTTTCATCAAAGGAAAATTCATCGAAATTCCTAGTGATTTAAGATTATGAAATGTTACTTAATGACTTTTTGCAATAAGCTGACAATATTATCAACAATTGCATTAATTATAATTTTTGAATGAAAATTGATTAATTGAAACCAGATCATTTATGTGTTATTTCTCCCAAATGTCTTCTAACACTGGGACAAATCGAATGAACTATTATAAAAATATTGGCATAAAGAGGAAAATATGCTTGGGCATACTTAAGTGAAAATAGAAGATAGCGTTTGATAAAAATCGATCCTGGACCATTTTTTTTAAAATAATTAATAATTTCCTTTCAGCTTTGAGCTAAATTAAAAAAGCCATTGGCATATCATAATAATAGTTTGTGCACAAAGAAGTAAAAGAAATTGATGGAACAGGATGAAATTAATATTCGGAACCATCTAGGTACTAAACCAAACAATCCCTGACAATTTCATCAAAATGGGATTAACTGTAGTAGTTGACATGAGTGTCACATGGATTTGATTAAATACAGACAAACATGGAACCTAATTTGTTCCTTGATGTCCAAAATATAAAATGCGAGTAGACATTTTCGAATCTGACCACAACATTTTTTTTCAATCTCCCATAAAAATACAAAGCTTCTTTATCTTCACTATTTCAATAGACTGATGATTTCTTCTCCTTACCTCAAGTCCTGTAGGATCTCTTTCGCGTTGTACATTGTTATCAGTGAAGTCGTTGCTGAGGGTATGATAATGATTGGAGTCCGAGATATACGTTTTGAAGGTGGTACTGAGGCATTCAGTCTTTGCTAAATAGAAAAATAAACAAAAAACATCATTAGTATTGATTAGTATTGGTAAATTTCTATAACACAAATACATATTTATGCAGGATTACAAAAACGTATATTATACCCATCCTTCAATTTACATCACTTATTCATGGATCAAAATCGCATTTGATAAATAAATAAAATTCTAAACACAAATGTTTAATTAATACTCTGAAAACAGTTGGTCATTCAAAAGCTAAGATATAAATTTGAATATAAAAACCTGTGATTATTGTAATAACACCATAAGCAAACTTTAAATATATTAATTTTTGAAAATACTTAAATTTAATCATAGAAAGTAAGAACTTCAACTTGTTTATAAGTTATTTTGTACAGATTCTTATGAATATATAAATTAACTCTTACCTGTGCAGCAGGAACTATTGGTTGAGCAGGCTGGGACGATGGTTGATGCGTCGGAGGCATATTTACAGGTTTCTTCGGTTGATTACCCTCCGTTACAGATTTTAATGTCATACCGTGATATGTTCCCATTGTATCAATTTTGAATCCCTCAGTTTCTAAATATTGAAAACAAATACATTTATAAGTTTAGGTTAATTTTAAACATGATTAAATAATTGTTAATTAAATTATAAACAGCTATAAATAACATGAAGAATACTAAAACAAAAATCGAAAGATGGAAAATTATAATTAAATCAGCGATTAAGAAGAAACTATCTACAATATAATATTATTTTAATAATCAACTGACTTAATTTCTATGATTTCTAATTTTTAAATTATAGAAATACGATGCTCAGGTTGTTGTGTAATTTGGTTGTGACAAATGTCCATAATATAGATGGTGCTGATGGTCAATAAAATAAAATAATCAATAAAATAATTTCATTTTTATTTAAATTATTCAAAATTTTAGCATTACTAATTGTAACTTAAAAACAATTTTAGATGTAATAAAACCAGATGAACACTGTTCAAATCATTTATTTTTTAAAAAAGAAATAGTTGAGATAAAAGGTATGACATGGTATTAGTCTGCATGACATAATTAAAAAAATATGTATTATAAATAAATTTTTAATGTTGTTCTGTTATTAGAAAGATGTATATGGTACGCTGAAAGCTTCTCTGATTTTAAGGTGTAAATTTAATAATTTAAAAAGACTGCGATTGGTTAATGATCTAAGCATCAATGAATAAAAAACAGTCTAATATTAGCTAATAATTATAAGAATAGTTATTCATTATTTATTTCCTTTTGTGTAGATACTAGTTTCAAAAATCAATAAAATCAAGTAACTAATGATATGATTGTTTATGTGTAGTAGACAGATTTTTTTTCAATCAAATTTTGTAGTTTATAAATCCTTCAAAAAACTTATCAATAATATGGATAGTTGCCTATTATTGAAAAAGAATGTTTCAGTTATTTAAAGTATAGTACCATTTTATTGAACAATAGGGTATCCATGCAACCAGTGCTAAGTATTGTAAACCTCTTAAATGTGCGTTAAACAAGGCTGCTAGCACACTCGATTTTATCAGTCTTGAGTTACCCTGTAAAGTGGTGCTAATTTTGTAAAAGCATGGAGAAGGTTATAGTGAGGTTTTGAAGTCCTGTTTAGTTCTTTGTTCACTGTTTGCCTACAATACCCACCGAAATAGAATGTAAGAAGAGAGTTATCAGCCAGGATTTCATTTATGTTTTTATCAAGTTCTTTTTCTTCTGAATCTTCATTCATCCTTTCTATTAAAGCATTTTCAATCAAATAATACAGCAACTCTGTCTTATTTTGCTTTGGTATTTTAAAAATAAATCAAAACCTTATTAGATCAATCAAGCAGGAGAACTCACAAGCTTTTATTACAAAACAATCATAACCTAACTATAACTAATAATAAGGTTAGCACATAAGTGTCATTTCTCGTTCATTTAAAATTTGTGCTGACTGCTTAGCATGATAACACATTTAGCATTACGAATACCCCTAATAAGTAAGGAAAAATTAATTATGATTTTGAACAAGCTATACTAAGTTGAAATATAATAGCGGCAAGAATGAAGAACTAACCTTCTCTCTGGCGGATGAACCTTTCCTGATCGTATCTGTTGTAAACGGCCGGTTGAGGTGCACTCTTTACAGGGTTCGTTCTAGGTGTTACTACGGGAGTTGGCTGGGGTGGCCGATGCCTTCCGTCCTCTCTCACTTTAATCGAGGCAAGCGTAGCGAATATATTCTTGGCGAAAACCTATCATCATGAAAGAAGAACTATATTAGCAAATAAATTAAAGAATGAGTATCATTAATATATGATGTAAAAAACTCTGATTGTCTCTATTATAAAATAAAGTGAGCTATGGGGGATTCTAGTATTAATGCAGTTTCTCATAAGTAATTTAGTTTCTTTATTACTATAACCAGCATAATAATCAACCCTATGACATTTCTGGTTAATAAATGCTCTTTTAAGGAGCACCACGGGTCGAAGGAATGAGTGCTTGCCAGCCAGATCTGGACCTGTATATATTATGGGCAGATGTCTATATTACAAATAGTAAATAGTATTGGTATGTTATCTGTTAAAAAAGCACAGTTTCAAGTCCATTTTGCTTACATTGTATTTATTACCCTTGTTTGATTTCAATATAACGACCAGTGTCATTATTGACAGTCAAAGGTGGATGCATATAGCGATCGTGGTCGTTTATCCCTTCAAGGTCATTCATTATAAACGATATGCACTGTATATTAATTTGAAAAAATATTTTCGTTCTAAAAAAATCCCTGACTAACAATTTTTCCCTCAGTTTTTCCAGGTTTGAAAATTCCCTGACTTTCCCATTTTTCCAGGTCGGTCACCACCCAGTAATTATGTATGCCTAATACACAAAAATTATTTTGACTTAAGTTAGAAATATATAAACTAAACTATTCAAAACTTTCAAAGGAAAATATTGCATAAATAATAAATATGTTGAAAATAAAAAATATATATATTAATTAACATCCACAATAGTTAACGATTAATTTTTTGTATAAGAAAAATATGAACAGGTTTTCCATTTTTTAAATTTATTGCCCATATTACAATTTCATCAAAATGAAATAATTTTTTTTTTAATAATGGAAGTATCAACAAACAAGGATATGAATGACTGTATATTTTAAATGACAGTCAGGAATATGTACTGGTTGTGAGACCCACTACAAGACTGACGGTCATTCTCCCACTTCCTATGAATGAAGCTTGGATATCAGGATTTCTGAAAATCCATCAGTACAGTCCATCGACCTTAACCTTACACGATCAGTCAGTACTGGGAATGTCACTTCTGATTAATCTTCTGGGATCACTCGAAAGTTTCTTTAATCACAACTGAGTCATATAGTGTATAAACTTAAATAAAAGAAAAATGGTTTATAAAGAAATAAATACCTTTCCAGTACTCTGTAATATAGTAGTTCGGGTTCTCCACTGTCTTTCACGGGATATGATTAATTTCGTAACGTCTACATCTAAATCTAACATAACTTTTAAATCAGTTCCTAGCTGCTTATCATCTTGACTTTTGATTGTTGTCCTCTTTTTAGCCAAACGTTTTGCCTTGATAGCTGCTATCTTTTCAACTGACATAGCTTCAGAAAGAGACCTAAAATATATAATTGATCAGTAAAATACATTAAAAAAAAACTTATAAATTAGTAAAGAGTGTTATAAACCATAGTACTGGTGCAATGACCCACATAAATAGGAATACAATAACTTAGTGCCATGTGAGTTTGTCCTGAGGCAGCCACCCAATCAAGATGGAATGATAGCAATAGAAGTCTTAGAAATAAATGTTCCTAAACTGATTTAATGATAGAAATATGAACTAAAAACAGTTAATAATAACCAACATAGCTATTAGTTGCAAAGTGCTACAACAAGATCTGTGGTGGAATACAGAATGAATGAAAATAATTTTATTATTCTGGGACTAGTGTCCCTTTAGAACAAATTATAAATACAGAACATATACTAACATTCTGGTGTGTCCATAAAATACAATCATATATTTACAGGATGATTGATAATAAAATATAAGTACATATAATGAAAAGATAAATAATAATAATAAAAGGCTTTGCGAACCTGAAAGTTCGATGCCGACACCACCAATCGCTTATTACACACCTCTGTCCACCGTTCGCCGTCCAAATCCAGTCCCTTTTGATCGGCTTTAATGCAATCTTCCCAACTTCGCTTCGGTCTACCCCTCGGACGCTTACCATTCGGCACAGCAAATATTAACCTTTTAGGAATTCTCTCGTTACTAAGCCCAACAATTTTACAAGCCCATTTGATTCGCCGCGATGAAATTACCTCAATTATATTACCCGGATACAGTTCACACAATTCGGCGTTGTGTAACCGTCTGAACTGTCCGGTTAAGTCATCCTTCTTCGGTCCGAATATTCTACACAATACTTTATTTTCAAAAACCTTAAGACGCTGCTCATCCCTTAATGTAAGTGGCCAAGTTTGCGTTATCTCGAAAATAGTACGTTTTTGGGCTTAGAAACGCAAGATCCGATAGTCCCGGAGGAACTATCAGGGTCTTGCTGTACGCATCAAAATCTTCAAGGTCCAATTTGTCCCGCATCGATCTACAGACCTACCACCGTTCCAGTATTGAAGCCTAGCAAAATGTTTGTATCGACTTTATTTATTTTAGAAACAAAAACAAAAGCGATTCAATAACCCCCCGTGAAATTCTGAATCCAATGGTACCCCATTCATGGTATTTGAGCATGACAGGAGCTTATATTTGGTACAAAACCGATTTCGAGCCTTACTGAAGGAGGCCGCAGTTTTTCCAACTGTGGTATCTACCAGAGGGTCACCAAACTACGGCCCGCGAAAGTTTCTTTGATTACTCAAACAGAAGGTTTCTACAACATTTATTACCGGAGTTGTTTCTCTTAGGAAGCTCATTTCACTGCTGAAGTGTCATTTATTATCACAGACCATGGCCCTGAGGACTTAGCGGAGGCCTTGATAAGGCTTGTGGGACTTCGTGGAGACCTCAATGTCGCCTGTGGGGCTTAATGAAGGTCTCAATGTGCCCCGCAGGTCAAAAAGTATGGAGACCCCTGGTCTATAATATAGGCAGGGAACTTTGTTATCATTAGAGGCTGCATTAAGATTAGGAAGTGAAAACGGAGACAGCAACATTATTTTATATTTAACTGTTATTATTATGTATAAGAAATTACACTGACCCATACACATATATTCAACTTCATTATCAAATTTTGTTATTGAATATTTACCTAAATTGGTACTAGTTCACTAGAGTTCCTCACAGATTACGCGTGGTTCACAATCACTTTGATCACACTTGTTCATGGAATCCCGTAAACAGTCGAATGTTGTCGTCTTTTATGACGTCAGCTATTACCCCATCATACAACCCCTTTTCATGCATGTTTGAAAAAAAACAAACAACGTATTCCCTTCATGGAACTTCCTTATTAACAAATTGTGTATTTACCAATTAGTTAATTATTAATTTATATTATAACGGTTATCACTGTGAAAGAAAAAGAAAAAAATACATAAAATAATGTTTGAGTCGTTACTTCAAGCCCTGTTAAAAAAAGGCTTTTAGAAATAACATTTTTATTGACACGTGCTTACATGTAGTGGCTGTAAATAATACGCATATACTGTATGCGTATTATCTTTAATAACTGTATATAAAAAATTTTTTAATTATTTGGATAACAAATAATTTGAAGTAATCTATTATCTTTTTATTTGTTATTCGAGTTTTTCAATAGAAGTTGGAATAATTGCATTTATAATTTATTTTAGCAAGCCTTTGTTAGTTTATGTCATCTATCTAGTTTATGTAATTTTTTGGATTTCTAATAATACGAGCATCCACTATTTTCTAATGGGGGGGAAGGGAGAGAGCGCTTTGTATGCATATACTGTCTGATTTGAGATTAAGCATCATGTTTATGTAACTTTTTTGAATTCTTAGATATACGGATCCACTATTTTCTAGTCGTCAGAGCTTTTTATGAATATACTGTTGGATTTAAAATTGTTGGTTGGTTGGTTTTTGTAGATATAAGAGTCCACTATTAAGTTGTCAGGGACGCATTTTATGAAAATAATGCCAGATTAAAGATTGAATATACTGATGATTCCCAAGATAATGAATAATGAAAATCATCAATAAGAAAAATAATATCGTGAAATTTTTTGTCTATTACTATTTGATTTTTATATGATTATTACTATTTGATTTTTGTCTATTACGATTTCTTTTTTACAGATCTATAATATATGTACAAGTTCAATTCAGGTTTCATGATGTGTAGCCTAAATTTCGAATGTAAATCTGCTCCTGCTATATAACTGATTAAGGTTATAGAAGTACTTCAATGGCCGGAAAGTTAGTAGTAGCTGGCTCAAGAGATCGGTCGCTTTCGTTCTCTTTCGGATAAACCCGAACGCATTCGGGATTCCAGGGACAAGTGTGACCGAAGTGATTGTGAACCAGGCGTAATCCGTGCGGAACTCTTGTGAACTAGTACTCCTAAATTAATTAAACCATAGAAAAACATTAGAATGGCGCAAGTAGCTTAAGGGGAGCACTGCTGCATAGAGGCTCTAGGTTCCTCATCTGTGGCCCACACTGTAAAATTTTAATTTGTTTTTCTCATTGTAATCACAATTGTTTTAATTGAATCAATTAGCTGTCTAATTATTGTCATTGGGCTTAATCTGAAAATAGAAGGCGTGATTACAGTCATTCACAAACAAGAAACTTGTGGGTACTAAAAATTGTGTCATCCAGAGGTGGCGGTTCTATAGGATTAACATGGTATACTATTAATTTTAATAAAATGTCTCACACTATATTAAGAACATCTGTCGTCATAGGATGTGAATATGAGCTACCATCTTGGAGTAGCATGTGGAACCAGTACCCTAATATAAACTAATCAGTTTAGAAAATTCAACCTAGATAAAGAGGTATGTGGTATTGGTCAACACGAGAATAAATCTCTTAACACATTAATGCATAAAAACGAATATAAGTGAAAAGAGCAACTACTCACTTGATGTTATCAACATTGACAGAAGCTTCTTTAGGAGCATCGAGACGAGCAGCCAATTGCTGCTTTACTCTCTGCACTTGAATTTCTTCTAGCCTAGGTTTTTTAGCAGTAGACTCAGATGTTTCTTCAGCTGTTCTTTTCACTTGCGTAGGAATTTCTAATGGTGCACTTTTATCAATGTTAGCTGAAGAAGCCGTTTCTCCATTTAAGTAGGCCAACAAATCTTTACGATCAGGTCTCCGCACCACAGGAATATTAACAGCCTACATTGGCAACAGAAAAAACAAACAATGGACATCTGGTATGCTGAATATGTTACATAAGCTTATTTTGAAAAAGGAAAATGTTAAAAATTACTTACAGCAGCTTGTCGCACATACACAGGATGGGATAACTGAACATTTTTGAGCAAAAATAGTAAGCACTCAAGAGTATAGTATTCTTTAACTCCATCCTTATTAGATCTAAAACAACCGAATAAAGAGAAAAATCAAGCAATTAAAACATATTATCCTAATGTAAAACCATCTTATAATTATTAGAAAAATCAACAGAGATACAAAAAAGAAAGTTGAACAACTCACCTGTACATCAAGTAATTCGTTTTAACCGTTTTGGGCCATGAAAATTCACCAAATATAATATTATTTTCACGTTCAATGATCTCTTTCTTGTTAACATTGTACTGCCGTAAAATACTCAAAGGATCTGCCATGATATAAATTCAAATATCTAATAAACTAAACGTAAACTTCCCTCGTTGGATGAGGATAACCCCACTGACACAAACACCTTTGCAACTAGCTTAACACTGGAAGCAAGACTAGAATAACAAACCTTCGAGAAGCGCTACTGAACGATACTGACTTTATTATTTTTACCATTCGTTCCAAAATAAAACTACCGTATGCATATATTGTTGTAAAAAACGTCTATCTATAACAAAATGCAAGATTTAAAACACTTTTTTAGAAAAAAGAATTAAGTTATTTTTAGATCTAGTTTTCGAAGAGTTATAGAAAAGGTTATACATCCCACGTACGTGGAGTAGTTTACAGTTATAACCTGTACAGGTTTCACTTTTGCTGGAATTTAATTGTCGTACTTTTTTGTATCACTTAACTATGTAAACATTAGTTAAATGTATTTTGAAAGCAAATTAAATACATAATTAAACAAACCTAGCCAATATACTAATTAATGAATAATTTCTTGCAAACCAAAGCTTATGATTTCACCTACCAGCTACTGTTTGAAGCTTTTTATAGCTGAAGCTCCTTTTATGGTAGAATATTACTATTCTGTAGATAATAAATTTAACAAAACTTCAGTTTAATAAGTATTATTGTCATAACTAAATTTTAGTTTGCTAACAACTGGTTTTTAAAATCTTTAAGCATTTATTAATCATATCTGATACAAGAGTTCACACTAAATCTGTTTCTGGTAATCTAAAAAAAAAATATGCTGAATCATCTTTAGCTCACTCAATTTATATATGTTCAGAACTTTCTAGTACTTATTTCGGGACATGAGATACATAATATTCGCTCACACATTTGAGATAGTAAGAATTATAGTTATGTAAGAAATATTTTATAAATGTGCTTTAACAATGTATGTATATTACAGAAACAATGTGGAAGCAAATATTCTTTTTAAACGATGTATTTAGAATATACATTTATGATTAAAGTTGAGCCTTTAATTATATGGTCAATAATATTGAAGCAATATTCTTGAATTTAGTATACATACTACAATCATCGCAATATATCCCTCAAGCAGTCATTATATTTAGTATTGAACATACAATATATTCATTTTGTACACAAAAACCGAACTTGGTACCAATATCATTCTAACTCCCATGTTTTGTATACTTTTTTTATTCAAAGATCCTTACTTTGATTTATAAGTTTCTGAACCATTTTCATCCAAAAACTTAATGTGATGTTAAATAATAACCAGGGTACGGTACTAAACTGGTACCTAGGATACTTCATGTCTAGTCTCTTATTGTGAATTTTTAAAGCTAATATTTGAATTTAGCTAGCTATTATGTTAAATCTAGTTAGTTAGTTAGTTAGTTATCTAGTTTAAACATACTTCTGTACGTCACAAAAATGAGACATCACTTATGGAGCAAGAGTTGTTTTATTATATGTTTCCTTAAGCATTTTATTTTTGAATCATTCGCAAATTATTGGCCCTATTTTCTAGTATGGCTGGTCCCCGCGGAAAGTTAGATAATTCCCCTTAATAAGTAGAGTTATAAGTTAAAAAAGTTATACTTGTAAAAGGAGGCAAAAAAAAAATATATACATACTATCATACAATAATATAGAAAGAAATTTGTACTTATAGTAAGTTTAAATACTTAGTTATTCTAAGGAGGATTTTGTGCTTTGTCTGAACACCTTTCATGTATAGATTTTGTTTTAAGCACCAGTAAACTTCTCACATTCTACATTATTTTAAGTACAATGGATTTCATGATATTAAATGTTTAACCCTTTGACTGTGAGAGCTCATTCATGAGTTTCTATCATACCTTGCATCCTAAAATCCACAAAGAAGACCAAAAAAACGGATTTTTTTTGCATAAATTTGTTTAAGACTCTATTTCGAGTCATCTTGCAAGATCTTAGCTTTCAAAAATACATTTCAACGGTTTTTATTAAACTTTTAAAAAATGCGATATATGCCTTTCCAACCGCATATGACAGTGAAAGTTAGAGCTCATACGTATTTTCATACATATTTTCTTATTTTTGAAAAGCAAAATAACTGAAAATTATCTTAAAAATTACAAAGTGATCATAAAAATTGAATTATATGGTGTCTAAAAAAAGGACACCGACGGCGGGATTCGATGTGAATATATATATATACTGTACTTACATTTATTTTGAGTTTCAAACATTTTTAAATTATATGAAAAAATTATATTGTTTTTAGGTGGATGGAAAAATAAATCAACTAAAGCATCATTTTAATTCTGTATATTTTTACATTTATTAATTTTTATTATTACGTTTTAATTTTTGTAGATTTTTACATTTACTTATTTCATTTTATATATAGATTAAAAGTCATTGAGCTGCATTACTGGAGTAATGTTCATATAAAAAATTTGCTTTGGTTATATAACATTTATTTATCTGAAGTATTAAATTATATTATGATTTAGCTTGCTTCAAGTTGAAATAATTTCATTTCATAAAGCTTATTTTGAAATAGAGGTCAAACCTGGTTAATCCTTCTTCTAGGTTTTGGAAAATAACAGAAATTATTATGATGGGGAAATAGTTAACTGAAGATAACATGGTTGGGAAGTTTTTTTTATTTTTCTCTGTGACTCCAATCATTGATTGATAAAGATTAATTCTAATGTTATGATATTTTTTTCTAGTTATGGGTGGAAGTAAGAAAAAATTAATATAATAATTTAATTATTTATAACACGATAACATGAGCCTTTCAGTTGACAGAGTGACTAACTCCAATTTCAACATTCTCGATTACTAATTTTAGTGATATTTCTAGTGGGAAAGTTTATACCTTTATTCACAGTTGTATATTTCAAAACTGTAATCATCTGTTCTAGAATTAACGTACCCACAGTCTGTACAGATATTATAAATTTTCCTACTAGAAATATCACTACTGACTTTAATGACTTTACTCAAAAATGTTGAAATTGGAGTTAGCCATTCTGTCGACTGAAAGGCTTATATAATTGATAAATTGATTCTGTTTTTTTCTCAGCTGATTGATTTTATTTTTATCTTATTAATAAATGATAAAACAAATTTCAATAGATTAAATTAGTTCATTGTTTAAAATGCATTATACTGTTTATTTGTAAAGAAGTGAAATAAAGTTGTCTGTCACTGCCAAGCACAACTCAAATTAAATGTACTACTCTACTATAGAATTACCTGAAATTCATAACATTAGTAGAGGTTCGGGGTTTAAGGGTGAGAAATAATTAAATTCATTCAACTTAAATAAACTACAACTTATCGTTAATAGTTCTTGATCATTAAAAGAGAATTGATGGCTGAACACTTACTTTCACAATATACAATGAAAGATCGATATTAAATGAAACTGTGACAGTCACGTATGAAAAGAATACAGAAAAGATATGTATACAACTGTTAATTATTCCTGATATTGCTATTGTGAGATATAAGTGAAATACATTATACATTCCTTTAGTAAAAAACAAAAAAAAAAAAAAGCAATAAAGGAGTTTCTTTACACTCCTTAATTACTTTTTTTTTTTTTTTTTACTAATAGGAATGTATTTCACTCTAAAGTTTGAGGACAGCTATATTCCAATGAAGAAGGTTAATTATACCTTACAATTCCTTAAACTTATATTAATATAAAAAAATGTAATATTTAAAACATTGTAATTTTACACCTTATGTTAGGCAATTCATTCATAATTCATAGGCGGAGACTTTGGAGGAAGGTGGAGAGCGTGATCGCCCCTCCCCTAATAAGAAAAGAGAGTGGGTAAAATATTGTTTTGCTTCTCCCCAATATTTCAAAAACAAAAAAAAAATCAATACCAATTGGTCTACAAGAATGAATAAAATATGTAAACTAAACTCAAATAGGAAAAGTCAACTTGATAAAAAAAGTCTAATAGGCTAAGCTAAGGCCTAGAAGTAGGTACAGAAGTGTATTACCATGCTCTATGTTTCCATCATTGAAATTTTAGTTTGTATTAAAAGATAATTCAAAGATCAATATGTATCCTAGGATACAACATATCCTAGGATTTTATGATTCATTCATGTGGAACCTTCTATTTTTACGTGATTGATCACATTTCACGTGGCAAATTTGAAGCATTGATTATGTGATTTGATCACATTTCATGTGGCAAATTAGAAGCATTGGATAATTGAAAGTTCATGTCATTGCCTCAAACCTTTAAATAAAAATATGTAATATATTAGATAAACAACTGTTTGCAGAAACTGGTTAATCAATATCGCATGATTTGAAGCCACGGAGGTTAAGATGGGCTTGTAGCTCATAGCAATCCATCTGGATGCCTCTACCTAACAATGAATGCCTCATTAGAAGTTAAAAGACCACATGAAAGGCCAAAAAGCAGATAGATAGATGGAATAAACAAATATGCAACAGAGCTATATATAAATGGAAAGAAATAGCCCTAGACAGGCAGAGATGGAAAAGGCAGCAAAAAATCTACATGTTCTGTAATGCAAACGGCTTTGTTAATATATTTTCAAATATTCCCATACAAAAAAAAAAAATAAACAAGTATATAAATTTATTTTTATATTGTATTCATATTGTTTGTTAAACAATAATTATGTTAATTATAACTCATAATTTTTATACATAATATAAACTCCCGAGAAATTTTTTTGGGGTCCATTGCCCTTCCAACCAGAATGGAAAGTCTGCACCTATTTCTTTAACAATAAAATAAACAAGAAAATTAAGAAAAGAGTTTTACCAAATAACTTCAAGCTTAGATTGGTATAAAAAAACTAATTGATCAATAAAGTAATACAATATAGATTTATTGACCTCATCCACCCTCAAAGGAAGTATAATGGAGTTTGATAAATATTTAAAACACTATTCTATATAAAATAAAACACCCAGCACTTATTAATACAATATATAATTTAAGGTAACAGAGTAAATATACATTTAATATACGCTTTTAAAATTAAAACTTAGGAATTCTTTAATAAAGTAATAAAATAGTTCCTTTAAAATTAGATGGAAAATTTTTATAGTT